CGGCAGCAGATTTCTTCAAATCCAACAATAGAAGTAATGAACGTTGAAAATGCAATTTTGAGCGTTTCATGATTAGCGTCTGCGCATACACTGAATAATTCAATAAGATGTTGCGTACCGTGATAGTTTGCATTACTTCATCATTTTGACCGGTGGATATCTCCGATCAAAATATATGCAAGCACCTATTATTTTGCGCAATTTCAAGCTTAGTTTTCTCATAGGTTTTCTGTTTGAGAGATAAAGGTTGAATAAGGGATAAACAACAACGGCGCGATTAGATCAAGTGTGTCGATTGCACTATGTGGAAGTATCGTACAACGACGGCTTAGAGTCAGCATAAGATTTCATGTTACTTAAGTTAGATTTGATTAGGTCCACCTGTTGTTCTGTATATTTATTGAAATCTTGAAATTTAAAGTATTTAAGTTCAAGTTTAAAACTATTTCGAGAATATTGCTAATAATTTGTAAGGTGTATACCCCACATTGCTATATATGCAAGAGACTTGGAATTGTTTGCAAACGTCAGACAAAAAAAAAAGTTTAACGATTAAGGAGATAGTGAGGACGCGAAATTGATTGCAATGCCTGTATAAAAATGTTTTATATGATTTCTCTCTGCTGAATTGTCATCAGCCATGAATCGCTTGATAAATATATTACAAAAATTGAACGATCTAGCGCGAAATATGATATTATCATGTTATAAATACAATTGCTAGCGCCCTTGTAATTTCTTTTTCATTTTTAGCTTTAATGAATCTTATGTGCAGTCATATGTGATATAACGCATATGAAAATTAATTATGAATACATTACAATAGTTCGGTGCGCATCGGCAAATACATTTTGAAAAACTTGTCGTTGCATTTAGTTGATCCTAATCTATTAATAAATGTAATGCGAACGTTACAGGGGGCGGATTTTAATGTGTAAATCGAACGTGTTGCCAACAGTTGCAATGATTCGCACATATATGTATATGTATGTTTTTAAAAGTGAAAGGAAAAAAAAAAAAAAAACAACAACAACAACGACAACAACAACAACAGCAGCAAAAAAGAAAGGCTCGCACACACATACGGCATATGTTGTCACTTAAGTGTCACCAAGCTAATTTATCATCTAACATTTGCTTGTTCGCATACAGGAACGGCAGAAAGAACGAAATCAGAAATCAGAAATCAGAAATCATAAATCTGTTGGTGTACCGCAATGTTTACTTTACAATAACTTAATTTACCATTAAACACTCGCTTTCCTCGAAATTTGCGAGCGCGGATGCGGATGCGAATGCGAATATTTCCACCATACACAGCACGAGCAGAACACCCTTAAGCACCCTCTTAACAGATACAAATCTTAAAAATCACTTAAATAGAATCGACCTAAAATTTAGTTTATGAAAAGCGTGCAAATTTTTCATGTTTTTTCTTCCCCCCTCTCTCTCTATCTTTCTCTCTCTCTCTCTCTCTCTCTCTCTCTCTCTCTATCTATCTCTTTTTTTTTAAACTTAATAATGCGGGCACAATTGGTGTTTGTGCGTAAAGTACGCAAGTGCGTGGTAAATTTCAGCTGTTTTGGAATGGATCAAACATTTGTTGGTTTCTAGGCCGGTTAACTTTTTGGTGTACGAGTATATAGCAAGTGCAAATATGTATGTAGGTAGGGGTGGCGTTATTTTTGTTTTTGTTTTTTTTCTTTTCATTTCTTTTTTTTTTTTTTTGTTTTTTTTGTTTTTTTTTTTTGGTGTAATATGGTGGTGATTGGTGTGTAGGTTTGGTCGGCTGATTGATTTGTTGGTTAGTTGGTCGTGCACCATGATGATGATACAAGTGGATAAGCTAGATATTCAATATAGATTTAATGGATGAACGTCAGTTGGTTTTGTTCACATTACCTACACCTATACCTATACTGTATATATATATATTACTTTGTATTTACATTCCTTGTAATTTTGTATCATGTTCTTCTTGCCTTGCCTTATCATCGTTCTTCTAAATGAACCTTAAGCGTAAATGATAGAATTTCAATAAACTTAAGAATTAATATATATGTATTAATATATATATATATATATATAAATGATGAAATGATCAATCTTTGCTTTATTTTATATTAAGTGAGCCGATTCTTAGTATTTGCTTGCTTGATGTCTATGCTGGATGCCGTTTAAAGGATTTACATTAACACTAACAAACGATTAAATCCAGATAAATTACTTAAGCACACAACCCTAAATGTATAGGAGTGAGTTGTGTTTTTCGTTTGACCGAATGGGGTAATTTCTTAAAATAATAAAACCTGTCGGAAAGCAAGTAAGATTTTTAAATTAAATCGATGTTTTCTCTTCGCAGCACGGCACAATTGTTTGTTGCTTAAATAAGTGTGTAGCAGGATGTTGGAAAATATGTGGGAAATCTGCAACACCTGCATCTGGCTGGCTGCTATGAAAAACATAAGTTAAATATGTACTGACGCGCTCGTATTACAATCGCATCTCCACCCTGAGCGACTGTATGGCAGTAAGGATACACAATAACCATATTGTAAATGATTTAAATCCAAACTTGAACGTTGGCAAGGACGGTTAATGTACAAATAATGTTATTGAGAGATGAGCCCAAAGGGCTTCTAAATGTTATTTTTGTTGTTGCGTACTTTTCGAAATAGGGCTTTCTTCCTTTCTATTAGCTTAGAAAATGCCTTCACAAGGCGACGCAAGCAAGGGATGGTAAATCGTACATATTACACTTTGATGTCTGTCTATTAACTTTTCGCCTTAGCAAGTGTGTCAGTTGGTACAAAGCATACAATGCATGTCTATTTAAGCGTGAGAATATTCGAATTAAAGTAGATAGGATAGAGCGGGAAAGAGTGAGAAAGAGAAAGAAAGGAAAAAAAAAAAAAGAAGAGCGAGAGAGAGAGGATGAGAGAAAGAACGAGAGAAAGGAAGAATGCGTGAAAGTAAGAGAGGGTGATAGTATAGTTACGGTATTAATTCAAGTAAACTGCTCTACATAATGACAACATTAGAAACTTGTCTTGCTAGTACTCGTGCGTGAGTTTAATATAAATCCACAGCTGACAAATTCTCAGACGCTTCTCTAAAGCCCATTGCAACGCATACATTTCTGTGCGTTTGTGTGGTTGTACAAGCATTAGAGACATGTTGGAATCAATGATGTATAGCTGTTGTAATCATTAACTAAAGAAGATGAAATAGAAGAAGTTTTAAAAACAAGAGAAAAATTAGAAAAGTAAAGGAAAAAAAGAAAAAAAAAAAATGAAGACATAACAACAGAAAACAAATTTTAATGCATAAAAATTGATTTCATCAAAAAGTTGTTGAGAAAATCTATGCACAGCAATACGCACAACACAAGTTTTCACAAATCGCAGTAATGCACTAAAACGAAAATTCGAAATTAGGTAAAACGCTAGTGCATTGAGAGATTACAGTGGAAAAAAATGCCCATACATTTATTGCAATTTAAAAGACGTTCAATAATGCGTTGAAACATTTATTTCCTCTAATTTTCAGAAAATTCCATTTTCTTACATCTTACGAATTTTATTTATTATGGATTTAAATGACGGCTGCCGTGTGGGTAATTTAGTTCATATTCTCGCCTGCATTGCAAAACTTTATCGCATTTGAGATTTGAACCCGCGACACCATTGAATTATTAGTCGCAGTTTCACTCATGCGGATATATATTTACAAAATTTCTCATCGAATTTTATTTCGACCTTAATTGATGAGAATTTTAATATTGCGATAAGTTTGTGTCTTATTAATAGAGCACGCACTGCCTTTTGAAATTATAAGAAGCATTAGTGCTGTGCTTTCAGATTTTTTACCCAGTAAAAACCATAAGGTGACAAATTTGCTCGACTATCGAGCCGCCTCACTACTCAGCCGCCTATCCAGCGTAGTAATTATTAGTAAAAAATTTTTTTAAATCGATATTCGGTTTATATAATTTATTGATTCTTAATTCAAAATGAGCTGACACAATGATCGAAGCAATCTACAATTCAATATTCTTTAGAGTTAATTTACTTAGACTATTATACGAAGAATTTAAAGATAAGAGGTAGAAAAAATTGCTAAAATTAGTTTAATTTCACCTAAGTATGATCATAAAAGAAGAAAGGGGTGGGATTTTGTAATTCTGGAAGGGTATGCACTTGCCCGTAACTAAAGATTTTATACATATGGTAATCAGGTGGGAAAACCTCGCTTTTCCGTAATGATTTTTTTTTGTTTGCACAGACAAATGGACAATTCCTCCTCAATTCCTTCGCTTTATCTCGATATGCTAAATTGGGTAGAAAAGTGTATTGAATTACTTAGCTAGAATTGCACGTCAACCTATCTCGGTTACCTTTGCTCCTTAACGGTATATGTGATGGAAAAACGAATTTAAAATGTAACAAATTCAATCGAATTCTAGTTACACACTAACACTTACCATCCGTCCTTGTATAATGGTTAATTCAACACCTCAACTGTTTGCGCATACATGGCACTATAGAAGTGAAAAGCCAATGATATATTTAGTGTTATGTGTTTAATGTGTAATTCAGGTTAAGAAAAACGAGAAAGTCTTAAATACTATTAAGTAAGTAAGAAGGTGTAGTTGCAGGCAATTTTCGTCAAATTCGAATTAATTTACTGTAGTTGATAACAGTGTTTTGATCCATAGCGAATGAACTTTAGTCTCTTTCATTCTATTTTCAAGTTACTGTTTGTTGTTGCGAGCATTATTTCAAGTGTATTAACAAATCAATAACTGTTACAATTTGAAAATCGTCGATATTGAACTTTGTATGTGAGGTTTAAGCTTTTGGGGAGTTAATCAATCGATCAATCAAAAGATATTCCAGTAGTTTTTTTTTTTATAAAAAGCCAACATTTTGGAAAACTTAGTTAGTTTACCCGAAACAGGTTATTGTGATTGGCAGTCTGTTATTAACACTTGCGTTAACATGAAATTGGTGAGAGAAAATTTGGTTTATTTAAAAGTCGTTACTGTCGTTACGGTCAAGAAAATGATATACGTTTTTGCATTATTTAGATTTTTGTATTTGTTTTGGGCGTGGTATGGGTATATGCTTATCCTGATGGGTATTCAAGAGGCGGGGAAGGTGGCGGTGGGGGCAATGGGGGTGGCGGTGGCGGTGGCGGTAAAGGTGGTGGTGGTGGCGGAGGATCTCCGGGTGGTGGTTATCTACCACCCGGTAACGGTGGCAACGGTAATGGCGGTGGCACAGGCGGAGGCAAACCAGGAGGAGGTAATAAGTCCTGTAACGCCTATGTCACTCCTACAAATTAAAGTGGGGCGTGGGGCAATAATAGCAGTGATAATAAAATCAATAATATGTATGTGTCGCCTTTAGGTGGCGGTGGACGGGGTGGAGGTGGTGGTAAACCTAGTAATGGCGGCCCAAGACCGCCTAACAATGTATATGGTCCACCTGGGGGTGGTACTGGAGGCGGTGGCGGTACAGGTGGTACAGGTGGTGGTGGTGGCGGTGGTCCTGGTGGCGACGGTGGTTCTGGCGGTTTCGGTGGTGATGGAGGTGGTGGTGCCCCAGGTGCAGGTTCCGATATAGAAATTATTACATTTGAGACAAAAATCAACGTCGATGGTTCTTATAATGTACGGAAATAATTTATATATGTAATATTTTTCATATGTTTTTCTACGGTGTTAGTATGTATATGAAACTGGTAACGGTATAAATGCGGATGAAATGGGTTATGTTAAAAATCCAGGCTCAGAGGGTCAAGAAGCTCTCGTATCTGAAGGGTCATTTTCATTTACAAGCCCGGAAGGTGACGATTTCACTGTCACGTATATAGCCGACGAGTTTGGTTTTCAACCGCAAGGCGATCACTTACCAACACCACCACCAATACCCCAGGAGATACAAGACGCTTTAGATAAGCTAGCTGCTGAAGGTGGACATCCAGGAGATAGTGGTGATGGAGGAGGTGGTGGTGGCGGTGGTGGTGGTGGTGGAGGTGGCGGAAATGGCGGCGGTAATGGCGGTGATGGAGGAGGTAATGGTGGTTATGTTTATTAGAAGTGTAAAGGTAAATATACATGCTTATATACATATATATGTATATATATATACATATATATATATAAGCATTTAAAATAAAATCCAATATTCCTTGAAACTATATTTATAAAAATTTGATTAACATGAGAAGCTTAGCATAAACATCAACATAAATAGGAAATCAATCGAATTTTCCTCAATATTTTAAATTTACAAATTATTTTATTCAATAATGTGTAAGTAAATATTGTAAAAAATGAATGCAATAATTTAAGCACAATAAATTACAACTAAAAATAAAAAAAGGAAAAAAAAATTAAACGCTTGTTTAAAAACTTTACCGGTTATCGTAATTTATTGTATTTAAAGCGAAACTTTTACAAATTTACGATAACAGAACCAAAGTCGATTCATTAATATCGGTCTGATTATTTATTCATAATTAATTATTATTTGGCACGCGCCCTGCCTTGTGCAGAATGCAGCATTAAAGCCAAGTTTATTTAATGTCATTTCATCTACTTTGATGATTGAACATGACACTCAGTTGGTATTTGCAAATGTTAACGCGTATACATGTAGAAAAACCAAAGCGGAACAAATTTCAATTGAACGAAACGACAAATAGCAAAAAGCAAAAGAAACAAATTAAAATTTAAACAAAAAATTAAATAAAAAGAAAAATGATAATAACTATGAGACGTGTTCAGGTGAGTTCAAATCCAAAAATATTCATCGTACTTGAAATAATCAAATTTTCATTTCAGTTTTTGATTATTGCAGTCGCAGTTGTACTCACGCATCACGTAGTACGTTTCACTGTCGGTGCGACTTCTCCAAGTGTGATATCCTTGCAGTTTGGGTAAAAATTTTCTTAAACAATCAATATTGCAATAACTGATTACAAAATATGTTTGTATTCATCCACCAATCAAGTACAAAGGCGTGCTTAGAAATGCGTTTTGTCCGTGCATCCGTTTGCTGTACGTTGGAATTTTAAATTTACAAAAATCCTACAAAGAAAAATTAAATTTATTTACAAGTTTTGCATTTTATGTTCGAAGTTCAATCACACAGATTAAATTTGTTCATATATATTTGTATGCGTGATTCGCTCATAGATATGCTGGCAATTGACATAATATCGATTAAAATGTCAAGAATTCCATTGGTTCATTTATTTTTCTTTTATAATACATCTTACAACCGAACAAAAATATCGCACAGCATTTTGGTAAATACTTATCATTAGTAGAATTAGGTAAACATTCCGTATAAGAATATTTTTTAATGAGTAGACGGATGCATCCATACGGCATAGGAATGCATTCATTGGTGGGCATTGGTTTTGAGACGAATTTAGGTTTCATCTTAGTTTTTTGCTGCAGTGAAATATTGGTCTTTTTTTTTTTGTTTTTTTGAATAGTTTTGAAACTGAAAATGGTCAACAGCGCAACGAACATATTAGATATGATCGAAATTCCGTACTCGGCGATAGCAATGAAGAAATGAAGAGAAAACCTTTAGAATATCGTGGCGATTATAGTTTTACATCGGATGACGGCTATCAATATGTCGTTAAATATAAAGCGAACGAGAATGGATTTCAACCTTACGTGACGGCGCATAAAGTAGTGAAAAATTAAAATATTTATTTTCTCATTACTTTCCGCAATTCGATCAATATTTAGAAAATCCCGCGTCATCATATCATAATAATTTGTTTTTTTTCTTTTTATATATTATGCAATTACTTAATATTTAACATTTTACATATATATAGAAGAAGTAAATTGTATTAATTATTAATATTTAAAGTATTTCAAATAAATAAATAAATTAAAAATATTAGAAATAAAAAGCTTAAAAGCCTTTGAAACTTAATGAAATGGAAAATTGAAAAACTCCACATTTCAAATCCATAACACTTAAGGTTCATATTTGGGTTAGGTGACAGTGTGCGTACGTAGTAGTAGGTCTATTAACGACATTTTACGTATAACTAACTAACAGTTTATTATGAAAAAAAAGCATATATTTTTATATTGAAAACTTTTGTTATTGCTTTTCAAAATGTTCTAAAAACATTTCGTATGGCATCTTAAAAGAAGTTGATCTTAAAGAGGGCTTTGAGTGAAACGATTGTCTTGCAGTAGAAGGTCGGTTTTGGTATGGCAAATGCTGCCTAAAATCTATGCTCTTGCTGCTGGTTTTTAGAAAGTCGTTTGGGGATAATCACGTCAACGATCTACTCAAGGCCATTCACTTGAATTGCCCGCGAATTTTGTCAAGTTAGGCTTATCTTGGAAGGCTCTTCGGGGTTTATTTTTTATTTTTAGATCATCTCACTCACTTCTTAGGTGTACTATTTTTGTGTACTGGTGTACTAGTAGTTTTAAGTGCAGTACTTGAATTTCCCGAATATTTCTTTCGATCAATTGCTCGCCAAACGATGCGAACAGCTACAGCTTTCCGCTACATTGTCCTGTCTTATTGATCGTATCTTAGCCACACTGACAATTAAGGTTGCTTAACGTTTTTTTTTTTGTTTTTTTTTTTTGTTTCTTCCTAAGAATGATAGCTAACCGTGAAGAAGGTGTTTTGAATTCATTGTTAACTTAAGCTTAGATTAGTTTAGATAAAGTGGGTGGCACGACACATCTGTAAGTTGTTTGACGGACTTAACGCCACGGCAGCATAGGAATGATTAGATTTTGCTGTGTGTACAGAGGCACTCGGAAACATTATGGATTCGAGCTTATGCGGGCTGATACGGGAAAAGGTTTTGCCCAAATAGCTTAGGCGACTTATAGCCAAACTTGAGCGGAAATAAAGTGCGGAAATGAAGTGAAGTGTGTCGATCACGTGCGGATTGTGGTGACAAGCGAATTTCAGATGCTCGTCATGATGGAAGTAATTTTTTAAATTTCATCAAAGTTTCGAGTTTCAGCAAAATCAGAAGCTCATCAAATTTCAGTTTTAACATTGTCCTAAAAGTATTCAATAAAATCTTTTGTATTCTTTACATTACTATTCGTTTTTTCGATCGAAGCTCGAATTAAAGTTTTTGTATTTAAAAAAAAAAAAAAAAGAAAAGAAAATTGATAAAGCTTTAAAAAAATTGAAATTATTTTTTTCAATTGCGGCAAGAGTGCAGAGTTGCAGACAGATAAGCTTAGTTATAATATTCTAGGTTTGGCTTGAGGTACTTTGAATTTTGTGGCTTTTCATTCATTGCAAACGTGTGGTTGAAAATGGCTTATTAGAACAAATTCCGTTACATTGATTCGAGCTAAACGTGATTTAATAACGGTTTCATTTTTCTTTTGATTTTTATTTAATTTCTCTTTTTTTTCTATACATACTTATGTGCTTGCAAAACATCTAAGGATTTATGAGATTTTTTCAAATAAAAAAAAAAAAATAAAAAAAATAAGATGATGCTGAGTAATAATAAGCAATTGTCTCCCTATTCAATTCGATTTTCGTTTAATTTACTTATTAGGAGTCCTCAGAGCAATGTTTCATTTTATGTCTCCGATATGCATTGCGTTGTTTAAACCAAAAGACTTATCACTAGACTGTCTTGCGAAAAGAAGAAGAATTTTTTCCCATTATAGATTTACAATATCTACAATAGGTTGATAGTTATTTTATTTACTAACTTTTTTCCCATTCTATGTATGATGATATCAATTTTCAATATAGAAGAGTGCGAGCAATCCCTTTATTACGATCACTTATCAGCGACAGCTTAGATATTATCGTTATAAGCAAATGGACGAATCATCATAACATAATGAAATGGTCAGCAAGTTTTTTCTGATAGTGCAACTTTCATGTGCAAGAAATCGCTTCAGAATAACAGATTCACGTCAATCTCTATATAAAAAAAAAAACAAATTATATAATATCGAGCTCATCAGTACATTTTGGTACACTCTCTTCTTAGGTTTACACATCTAAATCCATCCGACAGGGTTTCATAAAAAGATAATATTTACCAAAAAAAAAAAAAAAATGTAAACAATAAAAAAAAAAGAAATTGTTTTTTTATTGAACATTAAAGCAATGATTTTATCCGAAAAAAAAATTTTAGTCAAAAAATAAATAATCAAGTTAATGAGAAAACAAAAAAAGAGACCAATCCAACCAAACAAGCAAACAACTAAACAGCTCATCTGAAGACCAGTTAAAAGTTGGTAATAAAAACATGTTTCTGTGATGCCCCGAGACACACTTCATAGCACTGATTGTATTATTATTTTGGGCTGTGGCGGCAGACAGCACGCAAGTGTGAGTTAAACACGCGTCGACCTTGAATGCGTAAATGTTAACTAGACGGCAAAAGAAAACGAATGTTCAAAATGAAACGAAAAAAATTGAAGACATCTATAAAGAAGAGGAAGAAGAAGATATAGAAATTAAATGAAAAGTTTATGGAAATAATATACTATTCATATACATATAAAGAACAATATAAATGAGAAAAAAGTATTAAATTGCAAAAAAAATAAAAAAAAAAAAAATTAAAATATAAATAAAAAGGTCAGCGATTAACGCCAATGTAAAATAATCGAAATGAAAATGCTTATCCATAAAGCGATTAACGTATAAACAGTTTAAAATTATTTAATTTAATAAACCCTAATATGTAAGAAGGAAAATTCATTTATTTCTTTCAATCGATAATAAAGTTATTTATTTATGTTATTTGTGTGTCTTTTCTTTTCTGTTTTATTTTAATTTTTTTTCTTTTTTTTTAATATTAAAACTTAAGTTTTACTGAATGTCAAGGGTATGTTAACTTTTGAATTTTAAGAAATCGAAGCGCATCATCAACGTTGCTGATGATGTTACCTTATCTACGTTAAAAACGCACAGATAATATATTTACTTGCACTGTATCGGCTTACGAGTATCGTCAACAAAATTAGCATGAAAGGTAACTTCGTTGATGGAGATCATAAACCTTTGTTGCTTTCTATTGATTTTTATTAAATTTTGGCAATTAAATGAAAAAGTCTTCAAGCAATTGTGATATACTCGTTTTTAAACGAATCTCGGACACCTGTCATCGTTCATAAATATACGAAAGCGACCATTATTTCCATTTACGGATATGTCAGTGAGGTAATTCCAGATGATCCTACGTAGAATATTAAGTTGATCTTGACTTTTCTTTCATAAAAGGCGCTCCCGCTGAAATTAGGCGTTATGGGCTGGCTTCCTGTCTATGAAGAAAAAGCTGTACGAGATCGTGGACAAAAACGGCACTGACCAACTTGGCCTTATATGTACTCAAATCTTAGTCTAAATTGAGAAGTAAATTACTAAGAGTTTGCTGAGAAGATCATCACAAGTTGTAATATTTTTTCATACCATTCGTACAGAAACATTATAAAATGTAAACGAAGATACGAATTGTTTTACAACTGACCTAAAAATTGCTTTCTGGAACATACATAATGGAAGTAATATTTCAAGGGATCGACAAAGAAAGTCCATTTGTAATCCAAATTGATTTTAATCTTAATTAAATAAAGGATAAATTAAGTGAGCTACATAGCTAAATATCACTTAAGCTGGTCCTAAACAGTCTCGAGTATGAATTGTACGAATCAGATAAATATGGTATATGATCTTGAAGTTATTGTGTGCTTAGCATTTCCCAACAGAAGTTTCATGGAGCGTGGGGCGCTTTAATTTGTGTTCTTACAAAGCGCGGATGTATACTGAGTATGCGGAAAATGGAGAAATTGTTAGTTATTGGGGCCGAATTTTGCATTAACAAGTTAAAAAATTCACTTATACTTGTTGTGTCTCTATATTTGTGTACCCTACACCATTTGAGGATCACTTTCGAAATCGGTCTAAGCTTGTCTGTTTATCTGTGCGTCTGTCCATGTGTATTTGTATTCCACCTACGCATCCCTTTGTTTGAGGTATTTTATGAAACTTGGTACACTGGCATGCTTTGGCACAACAAACGCTATTAAAAATGATTTCAATTGGTCCACTTTTCCGATCACCCCCTATATAAAGCCTTATCATTATATGGGAAAAAATGCAAATTTTTAAAATTTCTCGATAAAAGTCGTTGAATAATAATAATTCGGCATTCTAAGCTGACATGAAAGATTTGGTTCGGTAAGGTTAATTTTTCGAGTTCCTCTTCGTGTATAATCGTTCCTAATTGCCCGAAAGCTACATTTTTATATGGTAAATTAGCCTAATTGTGACTACTTCACGGTGAAACTTTATTTTATTATAGTAAATTGACAAAAGATTGACTTTACTGAATTTGTATTACGTAGGTTCATATCATGGATACCATCGCAAATAAGGATTATTGCAGTATGCGGGCTTTCATGGGAAGTTATGCCTTTGCACGTAAATAATGTGTAACTTTTGGCGTATTATTACCAAAACGCGTGAATATCTGTCTTAGGCGAAGCGATATAGTTTATTTAAAAGTCGACCTTGCCCGACCAATGTTCTTATTTGTTTTTCATTTATTTATTCGCTTTCTTCAGTTGCTAACAATAAATATATATAGTGGTTAACCAAGTGCTTAGAGAGAGGTTTAAAGAAACGAATACTTTCTCAAGCTTTCCAGAGCTCTGTAAATGAGTTTTCACATGTGCTGCTTCTTCTCATGTCTACTTGTAAGTTTTGTCGAACTTCTGGGCTTCGCGGAAATAAAAGAAAATGTTGCATAACGAAAATATGATTTCTTGCGATCAAATCAAAAGTTGAAAGAACAGAAACTCATCGAACACTGATTTCAGTCCTTCAAAACAATAAACGCAACACCAAGAATAAATTTTTCTCAATTCAAACTTCTTTCACATCTTTAGTTGCGCTATAAGTGTTCATTCTAATTATAAGAATGCACCTGACGTTGTGTATATGTGTGTGTTATAAGGTGATGTGACATGTTTGTCTTTGAATAGCAATATTTCAACGTGTTTTTCAACGCTAACGTATCATGTGAATGCAAACGTCAAGCATGTACTTATAGGACGTCTTAATTAGTTTCACCGCCTAATCTGCTAAATACCACAAACAAATGATAAAAAAAAAAAAAAAAAAAAAAAATTCAACATGTTTTGCATACCTATCTCTAAGCAATAATTGTTGTTTACGCAAGGGTCCTCTGTTAACCTTCATTAACTTTACGTATTCGCAATAGCTATTTTAAGGGAATTTTTTTTACAAATATTTTGTAAAACATTTCTTCGATTAAAAATATAATGCACATGTTTATCATTATTACGATTATTATAATTTATTTAACCTAAAGTGGTAAAATGTTAGAGTAAACTAAGGTGAAAGTTCTCAACTGCGAGTATTTCAAAATATTTCAAAAAGATATTTATCGTCATTATAGTCGGGCACATTTTGATTGTAACGATTCCGCAAGCATAAGAGGCGTTTTTATATAGTAAGCTTATGTCATCAAGTATTTTATAATGCAATTATAATTGTCAGTAACATTGCACTACTATTTAAAGGTCGCTTTAAATATGGAGCCTTGGACTATGAATTGCTAGACAATTACTTTATTGCTTAGACATGGCAATAAATACGTTTCGGAGGTTGATTTGGCCTTAAAAAGTTCTCGGCCATTACGAATTACCTTTCGCCTAAAGAGTACGTAGTATTTGCACGGCTGAAATTCGAAATAGTTCTTACCAGTTCATAGTAAGGCGAATACTGCTTAAGAGACAAGGAATTGCCTGCCAGCCAGTTAATAAGAAAAATGTTGAGGCATCCTGGTACCCTGGCATCGATATTTTATTGATATTCATATCTTTAGAAAGAAGTTCATTAAGTTTACTTGACATGTAAATATGAAATTGGCATTTGCTCATAAATGTTCTTAACACCACGTGTAGGGGGCCATATACGAATCAAGTTACGTTTTTTTGTTCATACCTTGAACTTAAGTTTGGTAAATAAAGAGCATTTGCCGACAGCATTTTTCCTTAAAACAAAAAACGTTTTTCGTATGGTATCTTAATCAGGGATGAGAAGTGGATCTATTTTGAGTTTTTCAGGGCGAGGTCGCTTTTCTCTATTCACAAAATAAAAATTTTTGTCGCAACGGCGTGAGGGCTTCGTAGGCGTGTTCTTGGAAAAATTCGTAGGCGAAATCATCATTTTCGCTAATCCGGGAATGTTTACCCCAAATACTACACAGATAGACAGTTGAACAGACGCAAAAACGGACATATTTAGGTGCATTCCAAATTTGAAACTGGCCAAGAATTTATATACTTTGTGGGGTTTTTAAAGCTTGTTCTTGCGCCTTAAAAAAATTTTTTTTGATAAACAATAATATCGGGTAGGCTTTCTATTGTTGTGCAGGTGCTGCAACATCGGCGACAGAAAATTTTTGTACATTTATCAACTATCGTTTGTAAGTAATAATCAAACAATCAATTTTTTACTCCTTTTGAAAAACAGACCAAGTGCTGTACGTGTGTCCTTCGACTGATTTGAATCATTTTCAACGTCAGGCTGCGTGAAAGAACTTCCAATGGTTCTGTCAAATTTGAAGTCGGATAGCTTTGTATTTGCAGCCAGGAGAACGTTTACAACAGACTATATGCAGACGGACAGACGGAAGAACATGCTTAAATCAATTGACAATTTGATGCTAATCACGAATATTCACTAAGTGTGGATTCCTCAAGCATCCTTCTGGACTTTGTAAACGTTTTAATAGTATGAATATATACCTCACCCTTCGACTGTGGGTATAAAAAAGGTAACATAAGATAATCTTTTTAAATGACACCCGTTCGTCCAACCACATAGCAAAACTGGTTCGCGATATATTAAAAACACCCAACTGTGCTAGAAGTGCTAGTCCATGCGGCTTACTCACCAAGTCCCTCGAGTTCCTGCGATTGCTACTTGTGTGCAACGATGGAACATGCGGTTACATTTCACGACAAATCTATGAAAATGGTTCGATCAATAGTTTGTCTCAAAAGAGCAAGATAGCTGGGAAAAGTACTGGGCAATATTTCGAATAAAATATTTTTTTAAGCAGTTTCATGCAATCATTTTTTATTATTTTTTATACCAAATTCCGGTTCATGTGTACGTACATATATAGCAGAAAGAAGAACCTGCGGGCGCTCATTTGCGCTTATCACTGCGTGAAAGGAAAAACTATATTACTGAAGCATTATGTAATTCGTGAAAGATGCGCGAAATCTAATTGTTCCCGTTACAAGTCTCTGTAACATCAGAGTCCTTTATCTTCTTTCAAGGGTGTCAAGGGTGATCACCACGCTGCACCGAGAGAGTGCTCATATTTTCCGCACTAGATTAATATTAATTTTAAGTATGAAAAATAATTTTGAAATTGATCGATAAACATTTATGGCAAAATTTAGATCGAGATGGCACGGAAAAGCTGTTCGTGTTTTAGTTATTGCCTTCTTAGCCAATTTCAGCAACTTCCACATTTAATTCGTGCATTTATTCACGCGTACGCAGTGATTGCGCAATTGCCTTCCGCCGAATAAGTTAGACTAAGTTGCGAGAAGCGTTCCCCCAAAAGGGTCTAAAGTGAATTGAATATCAAAGTAATCGGAGTAGCTAAGTGTAAGCGAGAATATTGCTGAGTAATGCCGTTATTAAAGGGTATTCGTTTTTGATTCAGCATAAAGCTCTGAATCGACTCAGTTATGTTCATCGAGCCGTCCCATCTATACATAGTCCTCCCAGGTTGGAATCATAGACATAAAAGAAGATTGAAATTGTGGTCGGTTATGCAATACCCGCTGATTTCAATCGAATAAATTGAGAATAAGATAAATTTAATTCAATTGCAAATATGTGCAGAAGATCTAGTGATCTGGCATAATTATAAACAAAACAAAGATGAAGTGTACCAAAAACCATGTCAGTATAAGGAGTTACATGAATATTTTGTATAAAACTGTTGTCAGTTTTAGTGCATTAATGAAAGATTGATCAAGCGTGTGCGCAGAAAACGAAACAAATTTTTGATATTTAACTTAGGTGACCGGTATAAGTAGATGGCCTGAAGGTGACAACTTTGACCAGTTGAATGTTAACGATATGCGATTTCGATAAGACATACCATACAGCGAATCGCGTTATTGAATACTAAAGTTCATTGTGGGGCATTCTTAATAAAAATCCAAAATTATACAATATCTATATATATATTTTCTTTATCTATTTCCTTTTTTTCTTTTATGTTTCTTCGTCTTTTTTCATATTACCTTCGAAGCATTTTCTGGTTTATATACATATATGTATATATACAGGAAATTTAGTTTAACGATGGTATTTATAATATTTCTGCTCTTGGACACTTGGTGTAAGCGTATAGGCAAAGAGAATGAAGCTGAAAAGTCGTCACCAACGGTTAAACGGCGTTGATAATAAATCAATTTTTTACAAGTTTCTTTACTTTTAACAGGCTTTGTGTCTTTTGTCTTGTTTCTATCTGGCATTTACGGCCAGCATTCCAATCATGCGTTTATTTATTTATTTATTTGCAATTTAAACGGCATGAGCTCGTGTTTGGCATGATTTTGTATTTATTCAAATGTTATAATATTTAATGTACTTGGTTTTCATGGGTAATAAAGTGCATCGTAAGCGAAATAAAACATTAAAAAAATTTCGTATAAAATATTTAAATATATTGAAGTAAATTAAAGGAGAATTAAGCTTTTGCTTCACTTGAAACGTGTCTGTGTCAGTATAAGATATGAGCATTGCATGAAAGTTTATTATTGGTAGTGAGATGCTGGCGACTCCGCTTTTTTACGACTCGTGACAGATTATATACAGCAGTGTTATGTGCACAATTTTTTAGTGTGCGTTTATTGAATGCTTCTTGGTCTACATAACAACAACTTACCGTCCGATAATCAAGTTTTTTTTGTTTTTTTGTTTTTTTCTGTAAGCTAATATATATGATTATGTGACCACTTATATATGTACATTTTTAGATGTGTAAGAGCATCTGCATTTTTTATGGTATGAATGATCATTATTTTAAAGGTTACTTGCTTATACGAGCGGCACATGTTAGCTTAGCGCCAATATTTATTTACGCGGCTTGTATCTAAACACAAACTTATTTGTAATGCATTACAAGCGACGAGTAAAGAAATATATATATATATATATATATATGTGTGTGCATACGTGTGCAAATGGTCTAAACGCTCCGCAATATTGAATAAGGTTCGGTAAAATACTTAATATTTCTAATGAATCTCTATAGCCAGATATGGCACGAGATTTTGAAGATGCATACGATGGCAGCAGCAATCGAATAGCAATTCTGGTTGTTGCTATTCTTGTATTACAGCGCTGTTGATGATGGGTTACTTTAGTCAACGAAATTGAAATTTTTATGACTTTTATGCAGTTTTTCAATTGCATTGGTAAACGTATAAAAATGCAACTGATTTGCAATATTAGCATTATTCTTGCAGAAGATCTTCAACAGTCAGTTCATACAGTTAACTGATTAGAAGCGAATACCAAAACAATTACAAAACAATTCAACATCTTTAACGAAAAAAAAAAGAAAAAAAAAACAACCTATAAAATGAAATTGGTGCGTAGTAATAGTGCAATGTAGTAGTGTCTGTCGTACAGTGATTTGGAAGCATGAAAAAAGAATAGAAAAAAGGATTTCACTTACAAATAAACAAACATTCTTTTTTTAGATGCTAGTCTTTGGTGTTTTGGCTTTGGCTGCTTGCGCTATTGCTGCTCCTCAAAAAGATGTTGAAGTTTTGGAATATGAAGCTGACAATATTGGCATTGGCGGTTACAAATTCAGGTATGTTTCCACAAACCCTAAATGATGCCGCCTACACGCACAAAATGGATGGGGCCGCATTTGGTTAACGGTTAATTTTTATAAATTTTAGTTATAAGCTAAGTGACGGTACTACTCGTACGGAAGAAGCTGTTGTTAATAACGCTGGCACTGACAATGAATCGTTGTCGGTACGTGGCTCCGTGTCTTGGGTAGCTCCCGATGGTCAAACTTATACAGTGAACTTTGTAGCTGATGAGAACGGTTTCCAACCTGAAGGAGCACATCTGCCCAAATAAATCTGTTGTAAGATCTTTCAAGCAGAATAACAAGAGAAACTGAAACCAAGTTACCTGAATTTATCTAAAAATATGTTTATTGTTTTGTTATAAACCATGTAAATACTATCTTAAATCGAAAAAAGTTTTTAATAAAAATAAGTTGAAAAGTGAATGCTTTCAGTCAGTGTTAAAGAGAAATGAAATGTGAATTTTAATTTGAATGAAATGAAATCAAGGTATTACATAAATGAAAACAAAGTTGATTCAATAATCGCGGCTGTTATGCATGACTCTTCATTCCAGCACGGTTCCTTGAAAATGTTCCTTATCATAGAAAGCTCATGTACATAATTATCGCACATAAGCAAAACTTGCCGAAAACATCTTTCTATTACGGCTTTTACACTCATTTGTATCAATTGTATGGCATCCATCATATAATTATATAATCAATGTTACATTTTTATTGATTCGTATAAATTCGATTGATTGGTTTTGTATATATCTTCTCAGTCCGTTCGCTTTCACTTCAATCATCTTAAATTGAATATCAAATGCTTCTGCGTGACAATGGGTTGCTTAAGTTAGATTACACTTGAGCTAGTTACGAAGATCACTATTTGAACATTTATTTTTTCAACAAATTTTAATTTATATTGTGAAACGGATTTGCGGCTGTAATAAGTCATAATCTTCGAGTTAAATATTGTGGCGGATAGATGTCTCCAGAGATTGTACTGGAAATACTCTCCAGAATGTCTCTCAATCTATGCTACCACGGATTTACCAATAAACGGGAAGATTATATCGACACAACTTGTTCATGCTATCACAGATGGCTATTACTATTATTACTATTTCTCCACGTTCAAGGTTCACACGGTAGCGCGGCTATAGGGAAAGGAACGACCTTAATACCTTTTAAGTTTTCTTTAACTGATTGGGTTACCGGGAGTTGAATGGTTAAATGGATATGGCTACGTAGTCTCAGTTTCAGAGGACAATGTTGGCGAATAAAATCGAATTTTCCTTTTCTTACTTACTCCCGCGAATTATTGATCTACCTTTTATATACGTAGCGCATAGATACACTGCGTGTATATGGATGGATGCCTTGGCAATCAGCTTCAAAATCAAGGAAAAACGTACGTAAAGTAAATGTATCACCACATCACTAGGTCGGTCACATAACTTTGTCAGGAGGGCTTTAAACTTCCTAAAACAGGTGTTGGGAGGCGCAGATCAAAACGAGATACCTTCAAGTCGTCTAGAGCAAATTCCAATGAAATTAGAAATGTTGCATCACGTCGAATGGTTTTTCGATCTTTACTAAGCGCCCACCGAACGGAAAGAATAGCTTGCAAAGTTTCCTTAATCAACAAAGTTAATTCCGAGAAGAGGAAAGACTTTGCTTTAGCCCATACAAATTGGTGCAAACCAGAAAGCGCAAAAAAGTGAAAAAATGTACTTTGGAAGGATGAAACAAAAAATAAATTTGCTTGGTAATAATGCGAAGGAAATCTAATCGTAAGGGCACTTTTCTTGGGTGAATTTCAGTCCAACACATCGCAGAGGAAACATTATGTCTAGATTTGTACGTAAAAACTTGTTGGAGATTGCAATGCTACCGCATGACGAAGATAACATACTACTGGAATGGATATTTCAGCAGGATAGTAATTTCAAATAGTCATTCAATTTGGTGAACGTGCGGTTCCTGGAATGCATCTTGGATGTCATTGAGCGGCCAAGTCACTCTCTTGGCCTCAATTCTGTTGGGAAGGTTTGTGGTGGACTAAAGTGTTATGCTTCCTGCAGCAATAAGACAGAATTATGGGAAAACGTTCAAAGCGTGTGGTATAATATTCCAGATATTCTCTCTCATGCCTACAGAAAAGGAAGCTTTCCTTAAAAACGATACTGGCCGTATCGTCTATCGACTATTTGAATTGATTTTTATAAAACCGATTACTTTCGAGCGCATTATTTCGCTTTATTTTTAGGTTTTCATATATACATTTATATTATACTGTCCACGTGAAAATAAGCGATATTTTTGAACTGGACATCTCTTCAATTTTTGTTTATACTTAACGTAACTGTAAAATCATTTTCAAATACGGAAATCTTTCTATTTTGTAAATGAATGATAAACATAAGATATAATAGGAGGAAAATGGAAAAGAATACCACGCTTCAGCATATATAGCATGGCATATATCTGTTTTTACACCTGTCCGCATACATATATCGTATACAATACTTTTATCAATAATTCCTGGGAGTAAATAAGGAAAAAATTTTTTTTTTTCAACAATACAGGCTTCTGCAAGAACGATGTAATTCAACAGTCCAACGCTTTTCTAACACTACTGTCTTACACTATTCTGAATCCCTCAGCGATCAGCAATACTTTGGACTATGGACAGACCATTAACGAATCTAATGTAATATACAAGCAAATCGATCATGTATTACTATGGTTGACACACTAAAGCTTTGGCTAAAATATATCCGAAATTGAAGTGAAAATATGGAAAAATTTTTAGCCTTTTTGGGAAGTTTGTTTCAGTTTCTTGTGCATTGCGGGAGTGTTTGTGAACAGATCACGACAATATTTTACACCTTGTACTCTTAACCAATGATATTTGCGGCAACATTTGGTTTGGACGAGATCAAATTTGCATCAAAACAGCAAAAATGGGCATGTCCCAGGCAAACGTGTATTGTATTTTTTCTATATGCTATCATTAAAAGCCGATATATAACATCCAAAAATATCTATCGACTTTCGTATGCTGAATTTTAAATATAAGATATGCGACAAATACACGGGTGATGTAAATTTCGTGTTAAAGTGTGCGATGTGTATTCTGTTATACTTCATAATGGTGGCTAGAGGCGCAACTTGCTCATTCTCTCTCTCTCTCTCTCTCACTCTCTCTCTCTCTCTCTCTCTCTCTCTTTCTTGGAAAACATTTTAAAATCTTGCTGTGCGATCTCGATTATGTAAGAATTGAATCATTTGAACGATTCCTGATCGAGTGGCCACATTCACTTAATCCACTTACATGTTAAGCAATGCGTACAAAAAAGTTGATTTTTCTATAAAAGGAAATAATATATAACGTGGTATTTGCAATTAACGGGTCTTGACGCTAACGGCAATTCAGAACAACGATTATGACTATGAGATGCATTTGCCGACATTTTTGGATGAAAGTTGCAACAATAAATAAAACTAAAACTAGAAAAATCTAAGATAATAAAATGAAACCGGTTTTCTTATTCGAATAATCCATTTGAATAGAAAGATGTCACGGTAACGGGGAAACTTCGAGATTTGAAGCATGGCATCTTTTTGGTTCCAATGTGATTGGAAAGGCTTTCTATACAAAAACTGTCACAGCTTGAGATGAATATTTCTTTTAAACGCTGTACCTTGATTTTATTTGAAAGAAATCTTTCAACAGATTGTACTGAGCTTAAAATTTGGAATTTTGGAAAAGACCAACGGCAATGTTTCATTGTCAAAACGACTATTTTTCACACAACCTCGTTAATTAAGTCTATATTTGTTTTGCAATTCTTCAGCTCCACGTTTTATTCAAGAAGAAGAAAGATTTGAAAATGTTTTTAATCGTAAATAGCGAGCGAAATTTATTACGTTTCATAAATTATTTTATAAAAAAGTTTTTTCATCTTTACGTCACGAAATCACTTATTCTTCAATATCGTTATTATGACATCCAATCCCATATACTGGAATCTTTTCACTCTTATCCTGGTACCGATTTTGAAAAGATAATGAAAAGATGGTTCTTATCCTTGTTGAGGAATGTTTTCCTTTTTTCTGTTAAACAAATACTCTAGTAAGGCGTTGAAGAAATTTTCGGTCGTTGAACCATTCAACTTATTTGTCAAACTTTCGTTTAACTTTAAAATTACGTAATCTAAATAATATCAAGACTTTGCGACAGTATTACAAGGTGATAGCTGAGTCTAGGTACTGTAAAAAAAGTGCTGTAGCTAGCTCACTCAAATGGGAGAGATTGAGGCTCAGCTTTAAAAACGATAAAATTTCTTATATTTTACGATACCATTGCCATAAATGATTTTGTGCTGTGATAGCTTTAATGGAGCCCTTTGAAAATTACGCCACAAATCTTTATTATTAATTTAGCCAGAGAAGTAAATTGCAAGACTAATGTCGTAAAGCACTATCATCTAAGGCAATCGGCTCTACCGCATTTGAGGTGTGAACCCACGACCATTGAGTTGCTAGTCAATTATCTAACGTAATATTCTGCTCAGATAGTACAGAAATCTTATAGCATTGGGATTGTAAAATGTTGGCAGAAGAATCGAAGAAAGTCATTGAACTACACATTTATTCTTAATTTTGATCTTTACGACCTTGAGGATCGCTGCATTTTCAACAAGCAAGAAAATTGTATTCGGTCGTGACTGGATCTCTTATACTCATCACCGTTATCCTAGCAATGATACACAGAAAAGATAAAAGCTAAAGTTTCATATTCTATACAATTGGGTAGGCGTGGTCAATTTTACTTATTTTAGTACGAGCACTACAGCACCAAGCATAAAATAGATTTTCAAAATTTTGTAGATTGATCTGTGGTAATTTATGAGTAATGATCAAAAAACCGCTGTCTTATTCTTTTCCAAAAACAAAAGTGTACCCTGCTTACGTGGTACAGCGGGCGTGTCCTTCGAATGATTGGGCTCATAATTCTGCCAAACTTGAAGTCGGTAGTTTAATTTTTGCTGTCAGGAGAATGTCATACAAGCGGACAAAATTTGATGCTGATCAAGAATGTACATACTTTGTGGGGTCTCCGAAGCTTCCTTCTGGATGTTGCAAACCTTTTTGGCAAAATGAATACAACCCTCATTCTTCGACGATGTGTATAATGCAATGATGCAAAGCTTTCTAGGGCTGTGTATTCATATATATAAAGTATAAAATATAAATAGGAACATTTAAAATATTATAGTCTAGCAAGGTCAACTATCAAACACTCTACACTTCCTCACCTTCGTTTGATACAATATTTGATATGCTTTTGCTATGACATGCCAACAATTATACATTGTTGTCTTCATCACATGTAAAGTAGTGTATGATAAATAAGTTTCTTCCGGTATAATGAGAATAGTCTAATTGACAAATAGTTGACTGCAGAACTAGTTTAGCATTGAGGTCACATAGTCAACCATAAGAGCCATTAGAGTATTTTATTAATGGACTTCTCGTGAAAACGATTCCATTTTTAGCGGTAGCTGACACTTTAGTGCCTGAGTTAAATACCTGCTCCGTTGTGCTGCGCATGCGTGTGTACATTTATCTACACGTTTTAAATTGATACATACCAGGCCAAACGACTGAAATACAAAATTTTCAAATTCAAACAATCAAAAGCGCCAACCAACTATTTAGTGACTATAATATAACCCGTTTAATGATGTAATTAACATAAACATCCAACGACGCGATTCATTTACTTACTACTTAATAGAACGAAGAAGAAGCGAATGAACCAATTGTTTAATAAAAAAGAAAAGAAAAATTTTTGTATAAAAAAATTTTGTTTTATATTTTAATTAAATCATTAATGAAAACATTATTCTGACTGTTAGATATTAAAGAGCATCAACCGTATTTGCTGCAGATTATGCGAAGAAAAACTTAAGCAGCGCTAGGTATGTGAGCGCCTTGTGGTTGGTAACCTTTTTCGTCGGCTACATAGTTAACGGTGTAGGTTTGACCATCCTTACCAACGAACTGATAGGAACCGTGTACGACGAGGGATTCTTGATCAGAACCGACATTCTTTAATTGACCTTCGGCATCGTGTTTTGAACCGTCACTGGTCTCATAGCCAAAATGGAAATGTTCAGGCAATACTTCGGAATCTTGACGGACGGTCTCGACGTCGGGACGAGCCAAAGCAACAGCGCAGAGGGCGGCCAATACAATAACTAATTTCATTTTGTGTTTTTTGTGTATGTTTTTCGATTAGTTTACTTAACTGAATGAATGCTTCTATTCGGATAGCTTTCGCTTTTTATATCTTTCAAAAATGTTCTTCCCAACGACTCAATGCAAATTTCATTTGATTTGATTGCCATTTAATTTAAAATTTTTTAAACATTGCCGAAAAATCATAAGATGAAATTTGCATAAAATCGCAGTAAGAATCATGAAACAGTTTTGTTATAATTTGTATATAATCTACCAAAATAAAAAAAAATAAAAAAAAATGATGATAACAAAAAGTTAGACTGGAACTGGTTGGTTTTTTTTTTGTGAATCAAATCACTTATTTCTTAATATGTTAATGAAAAAAATCAAAGCTATTGCAGTTTCCAAGTCAACTCAATGCTAGTCAACCAGTAAACCGATATCAATGGGATGAATAAACGCAATAACAAATAAAAATTGTAGTAAGTAAGCAAAGTTTTCTTTGCCATTTTGCACAACGCTCTATGTAATATCATTGTACCTTTGATTATTTTTTGGTCTTGACATAGGGAGACCTTGAATTAGAAATGGTGGTAGTATTAAAAATTCATCGAAAAGGTCCTACCTCTATACTATAATGAATTAAGTTGAATATAATTTGTGTCCGATTTAAGATGACTGCCTTTTGAGCATTCCATGACACCACTTCTCCACCTAGAAGTACCATAAAATAAATAGTTCGCCAGGAGCTAAAGTAATGAATTGTGCTTTGCCCATGGTAAGAGTAACTCGTCAGTTACTTTTTTTCCATTTTTTTTTTTTCATTCAAACATTTTTTTTGTGATAGATTTTTGCATATAATTAATTAAAACAATTTCTTTTTTAAGGGTATTCAGGTGAAAAATTTTTTTGCTTTAGAAAACAGTTCGGTGACCAATTATTACACTTTAATTGCTTAGTTTGCTTGTTGGGATATGAAAAACACGAATTGAGGTTCACTCCACGTTTTGATATCGTAGTTAACGCAGCCAGTAGTAAATGTAAATTTATTTCTCCTGCAATCACACAGCATAGCCGTAAAAATTTATTTAAAAGTCTCAAGTGAGATTCAAACATTGGTTCAGATAGCTTTTTGATTCCAATTGAAGAAGTTCAAGACAAATCCAGTGAATTCTCAGTGAAAACTTTCACTTAATTGCGATGTGCTTGGTATTGGAATCAAGTTAGTTAGAACTAGAGCCGTTACGCTGCCTTGCATAATCGTGCGTTCACTTCCCTACTCACTCGCGCTGACTCGCGCTTTTGCGAACTTAAAATCTTTTCAAATACATTATCGCATAACTTGTAATATTTATACCCTACACCACTTGCAGGCTTAGCAGCATGTTTAGTGAGTGCGGATGTAAGCAACATGTAAAAGGACTTGAAGCATGCTCATCTCTTATTCTTTGATTATAATAGAACGATTAAATTGTGTTCAACCTGGTGATAAACGCGAATATGTGTGACGAACCGTAGTAGAAGTGAATTGCATCGAACCAAAGACATAATACAAAAAATATTTTAGAATACTCTTGAACCGTCTCTCGCCACAGACGTTCTTACAAAAAAAAAAAAAAAAAAAAACTTTCACATGGCAATGATATTGAATTTTTAGTATTTTAGCCAGCCTAGTAATGTCACATATAAATTGTATTTTAAGTTAAATTGGACTACATTGGTCTGTTTTTCGCATTATCCCCCTATAAGGAGGTAATACTAATGAAAAATAAGTCTTTCCATGTCAACAAGGTTTGATATTTTAAGAGGAAAACGATGATGTAGGGTATTGAAAGGTTGCCATGGCCCAGGTTAAGTTTTCTTTTTTAAGAATGCTATTCCGTAATTGCAAAAGAGCATGAACAAAACGGTTCAAAAGTAAATGTACCGTCATTCGGCACCAAGATGTGAAGAAAGTATGCAATATTAGTTTAAAATTTTCGCTGCTCAAAAAAGCGTAACGTATTCAATCCGAGTAGTCTTCGCAATATACGTATATTATATAAAGAGTTACATAAAAATGACTGGCTAAGAGCCAGTGCAACAAAGACATTTTTTGAAAACAATTTAATAGAGTTTGCGTGGAGACGCGAGCGAATTACCAACGAGACCGTAACTCTTCGCAAAAGAGCAAAGGCGGTGAGCTTTGACAGCTTTTCCAACTGTAGGGAATACGAAATATTATTTTTGTAGCTACGCATTGCGCATCCTATGCATATTGATTTCTTAAAAAAGCAACATAACAAAAGGAAGTATGAAGAGTTATGCAAATATGTGAACAAGGAACGTAACAAAGTTGAACATATGAAAAGTTGATATATAGGGGAATAGGAAAGACTATTTAATTTGAATAACATAAAGCACAACTTGGTACACTTTCTCTCTAATCAATAATGCCGCTTGTTTTCTTGGCTTAACTGAAGCAACAGTACAATGTTAATTTATTGAAAGGATTGAAAACTTAGTTCGTGAAGTTGACACAAATCCTTTTTTCACCAAAAAGGGGGATGCAGGAGGGTCGTGGTTTGAACTTGAACTCTATAATATGTCCATTTGCTGATATTTTGTGTCCTCTGGAGATGGTCTTTTACTACCAACACACTCAGGCGACGTTGCATGGGGCTAGAATAAAAATAGCAAGTGAAATTTTAAATAATTATCGCACGACTCTATCTGATTTCTTCACAAAATGCAAGCTTAAAATAAATGTTAGCAAAGATAAAAAAAAAAAAATGCACAGGCTTGGGCAATGAGGAATAATCTGCCTGGACTCAACCACGTCTTTGAGAAAGAAAACATGCTCTCTTCACAACATCGGTCTACCTTTTCAATTCCAAACTATCTAAGCAAGAAAGTAAAATCTTTTATATATAAATAGATAATTGGTCGAATAACTTTTTACACTTTGTCGCCTATTCACCTATTCACCTCTTCATATATTCGATATTGTGCGAATTTATGAACGCGTGGAGAGATTAACTACTACTATATCCTTCTCACAGGCTATTAAAAAATTGCCTGATTATTAACGATAAAGTCCAAGTTCTATTCAAACACAAAACACCACATAACAGCATATAACTAAACAAATATGTCACAATTAAGTATATATTAAGTCGCGATGGAGAGATGCAATTGCGTTTATCAACGACGAACTTTTTCTCTATCACAAAAAGCCACTACCTAATTGATTTGACCCATAATACCAGTCAGTTGCCTACAGAATCTTAAGTTTTACGCTTACATTAAACTCGAATGACATGAAAATGGTAGCTGATGTACGCGTTAGATTCTCTATATTGTATTTACGAAATACAGATCGGCATAGATCTAGGAAAGCGTAGTGGGTATTCGAAATATTTGAGTTTGAGAAATTGTCATGCGACAAAGCGTTAGTGTTTTTTAAACGGGAACAATAAAACAAACAACAAATGTTTAAGTAATGATGTTTAAGAAAATAGAAAGAAATTATATGAATATAGAAAATCGATATTTTCTAGAGATTTATGTGATCATTCAATTTGAAAAGACTCTTTGCATATGGCGTATATACAAAGTTCAAATCATCATATATAGCATTTCAACACTAGAGTTACTCATAATAGTACATCATACCAAATAGCGGAGCTGTATAGTGGAGAGTACTTTTCTATAAAATGCATTTATTACGACACTCAATAAGTATCCGGTTTCATATATGTATGGCAACACTGTTTGACAGACACATAAGATTTTTGGATAGTATCAACCTTTATTCCAGTCCTTAGTTTATAAGTTACAGTTTTGTTTTTTTTTTTTTTTTTTGGTGACATCACTGTTTTCATCGCTTTCGCCGGTTCCTCCAATCGCTGCTTACTCGGTTAAATACCGATTTCGTTTTGGAGTGCAGTGATAGACCTACGTTTCATCGTATTGTCATATATCTCATGAAAGGCTCGGTCTTTTTCCCTCGCCTAAACAACGCCAAACAGCGTTCGAAGTCATTACCACAAGTGAGCAAACGCGGCATCCACTTCAAAGACAAAACTTCTTTACTGATATTCTTAAAGTGTCAGGTGCCTCACGCACCCTCACTTTTCGGTCTTTTAATGCGTTTTTTTTATGTTTTATGGTATCCACAAGACTGCGTTCATAATTAGCTAACCGTCCGCAAATTCGTTTTTTTTTTTCAAGCCAACGCTGGCTGTTAACGGTATTTTTTTCCCATCAAAAAGGAACGTTTAGTTAATAGATGGAACTCGGAGTTTTGCATTGTTTCGAAGAATAGAAAAGTAGCGCCAGTAAAATAATTGCAATCCGTACACGTATCGTTTGAAGGTTAGTACCATCCGCAAATCATGTGAGTCTGTCGAAAGGGATGCCACATATTTGGCGGACAGCAGACTTATCGAGTGATGTGTTACTTTTTAGATTAATTGAAGATTCCGGGCAAATTAGTCAAGCGAGTATTTTTTAGTTAGTTTTTAAATCAAGTTGCTGGCGTTTGTGTACTCCTAAGTGTGGAAAAGGTCTTCGATCTTCGGTCTGGCTAATGAAGGATTAGTTTTCAAATTAGATCCAATACAGTGGCGTGCTCGAAGGAAACGTTTCAAAACTGACGCACTGCACAATTTACATTTCAGATTTATTTATCGTTTTCGAAGCCAATACGGAATGACTTACTTCTCCGGGCAAAGTCAGTTCCATTTAAACAACAAAATTAATTCGAACGATAAAAGCTTTTCTTTTATGGGCTCTGGCTAACGAAAATGCCTGAAATTAATTGAACTGATTTTTGTCTTAAAAGGGGAAAGAAAAGTGCAGCAGAACATTTCCTATCTTAACTCAAGTACTTTTGACATTAACTTTGTACGTTATTTACATAAATATGCGCAAAGAACAAGTTTGTCTTTTAATAAAAGATTTTCTCTAAATTTTGTGTCATTATTGTGTCCCATGTTTTAATTTAAATAAAGACGTCCTAGCATGGTATCATGTTGATTAATGTGGTACTTCCTTATTGCAATTGAACCATATCTGTTAGCTTCTTGCCAAATTAGTTTAGAAGTTTAGGCATAATCAAGTGCTAAGACAAAAGACTTCATTAATAATTAAAAATGTTTACTTTTAACGTTTAAATATTTTAGTTTATTTTATTTTTGCATAGCAAATTATGATTCGCGACAATTCATTTGTATTTGTATTTATGGTTTAATACCGTATGCTACCACCCACATCCGCGAACATACAAAACTAATCAACTTACTATAAATAGATCTGATATTTTAAAAGCAGTTAGCAATAGCTGAAGACGGCATTGTTTCCAATAAGATGAAGAAAGTTGAGTTTTGTTGAAAGCGATTGTGTGAAAGACAAAAACCAGTCCTCGTTTAACATTAAACGGAAATACAAATTATAGATAAACTAAAGAATGCTTCTTTGCGATGCTGATAAAGGTCTGAATTTCAATAAAATAGTTTTTAAGCATATAACTAGATCGATGGATCAACTTGCCTTTTTTCGTTTATAAATTATTTATGTATTCTACGGTTTAGCTTCCACTCTTAATATTTTCATTAGTATAAAAGAGCTAAGCTATAATCTAAACGTAACCATTATTTGACATCAACTCATCAAAACGAATCAACTGTAAAATGAAATTTATCATTGTGCTTGCTGTATTGTTTGCCGTTGCTTTGGCTCGTCCGGACGTAGAGACGGTACGTCAACATTCTTTTGTTCAGCCCGATGGTTTCAAATTTGGTGTTGAGACAAGTGATGGTAGTAAACATGACGCCGAAGGTCAACTGAAAGCTTTTGATAAAGATCATGTCGGTATCGCTGTTCACGGCTCCTATCAATTCGTTGATAAGGACGGTCATGCTTACGTAGTTAATTACGTAGCCGATGAGAATGGTTACCACGCTCAAGGTGATCATTTGCCTCACGCTTAGATGTAAACATAGAAATAATAAATTAAAGGAATTGTTATTTAATGTATAAGTAAAAATAATATTAATACGCGAAATATGAAAAAATTTTAATATTATTTTACATCGAATATATTCAAAATTTTAAATATTAATTAATTAAAATTTAATTAGGCAGACCATACATACATAGCCATAGATAAATGCGTATACAGTGCAAAGTCGAACGTCGGTTACAATGAGTGCTTAATTCTTCAATGCCTACTCTTTCAAGCCTTGATGTTTACTTTAGATGTTGGCTTTGCATAACAATTTTTTTTTAAGCAGATAATAAGGCTTTATCCGCTTGAGGTCAATTTTTGTTAAATAGATTGACATGTAAATCGATACTTTTTTTTTATCTGTCACTATCGCGCATAAAATATGTTACAAGACAATTTCAAATTTTACACGCTTGACTATTGCGGATCGTAAAATATTCACCGAAATATATCAAGCAATTTTCATTCACATTTTTTAGTTTTGTAAAGACACACCGCTTACATGCCACATTGATTCATTGTTGTTCTTGTTGTTGTTGTTGTTGTTGGTGTTTCCTATTTCGTCAGGATACCTTTATTAAATAGAATTACTTAGCATTTGTTGTTAAATTAATTAATTACCTTTAAGCGAATTAAAAGCAAAGAGGCATAGAAATCTGATGACTTTCTTATGAAATCCGGAATATGGCCAGATCCGTTTTCCAGAAATTTGTAAACAATTTGTAAACAATTTCATTTTTTCTTCCTAAACTTATTCAGTCGCTTAAGGCCAATTGTGTATCATTGGTGCCTTTCTTGGCTATGTTAAGGCAATATAGCGATGCGATGATAGGGCGCTATGCAATTTGAGCTTGTCATTGAAGGGCTTCTTCTCTACTCTCAGATTAATTAATTGATGTTCATTCAATCGTCATATCTAATTATTACTCACATTGTTTTCTCTCTTCTAATGGCAATTGCCGTATTACGACAGTGAAATACGCGAGCCAATGATGCTGACTATCATGGTATCCTGTTCTGAATTCGTGTCCGGCACACTTCGCCTATCCGTGAACACACTTATATAAAGATGGTGTCTAAGTTGAGATAACTGACCCCTCATCCGTAACGTTTACTAGCCAAGGATGGGATCTAAGCTTAGAGGTTCGGTCGCATTAGAAGAAAAAAAAGTAAAGAAAGGTCGTATTAAAAGTCGTATTGCCACTCCACTTCAAATCAAAAATTCTGCCTGCTCTGTGCATAGTATCGGCTTACGAAAAGCGAATTGGATTAAATTATTGAATAAAATTGTTATCTAATGAGTAATGTACTCACACAACAAGTACATAAGCACAACGAGTAATTTTTACTTTAAGTTCATGCGAAATTATAAGTCGATGTATTTTCTGTTTTTACATAAGAGAATCGGGTTTGATTGAATAAATAAGATTCCTATTATAGAAAAAGTTGGAATTTTAAGAAAATTATGCTTTTATATATAAGCAAAATCAGGCCAAGTTTATTCTGTTTTGACACGATGTTCCACCTCTTGTTCTCTTTCAAGCTAAAGTATTGAAAATTAAAATTTTCATCCAAAATTCAAAATAAACTTTTTCAAGTAAAAATTTGTATGAAATTTTTGGGCTAATTGAAGATGAAATGGATAGCAAGTTGGTCTTGAAATAAACGACTACTGCCTGAAGAGTATTTAAAGTACTTCGTCCAGGTTTTTCAAAAGTGTTAAATATTACAACTGTGGTATAAAATGTCAAGTTCCAAGAATGGCCAGCAAATCTAGATTCGTGGACATTCAGCGCTACGTCTATTCTGTCATATTAATACTTATTAGAATAACTCTTTTATATTATATGCTTTCTAAATGAAAAGTAAGTCAAACCAAAGTAACACGGTAAGTAGTCAATATGGAACTGCAAGCCATACAAACCGTACAATTGACGATTCGTTTCATAGGACATCAATAAAAGTGTGGTTGTTAATATCTATTGTAACAAGGTCGCAGGGATTCTTTTACTGTAGAGCAGTCGTAGCGTCGACCGATTTGTCAATAATTCTCTTTTTAACATTCCCGTTAATTTTCGTCACTTCTCTGTCTCTTACTTCTCTCCCGCCTTCGCTTCGGTCTCCATTATCCTCTTTCTATCCCTATCCGTCTCTCTCACCATGTTTCATTTTTCCGCTACTTATTGTATCGGATATACGAGGTCTGAGTTGGGCTCGAAGTCAATCAATCAATGAAGAAAGAAAAATAGTCTAAGGACAAAAGTAACTTTCTGGCCTCTTCATAACAATTGTTTCAGTGCTGCTATCTCTTTCCTTCTAAGGTCCAAAATTCTATCTTTTGCTGATAAAGAAATCAAACGATTTTATACACTGGGTAGTCATGAACTTTTGTTTCCAGGGTTCACATGTCTAAGTCTAGGCAATTACCATGAAGGGGTGGGATTTAAAGCGTTTATACTTAATTTAGGAAACGCATGGGCGATTTCGCTAAACATTTTCTTTTTCTGTCTGCCTGTTAGTTGCTTTTTTCGTCTCGTCACTCGTCAATTTATCCTTTCTTATATATTTTAGGCTTTTAATCATAGGTGCTTCCTTCATATTTTCGGAAGGCGTGTAAAAAGGAGAGATTTCATAGCCAAGTACGATAATCTGGAAACAAATGTTAAAATTTAAAAAATAAATAGATGCGAATAGAAATGCAAGCGTCTAAATTGTTTACGCTATACTAACGTTGACTAAAAGATATTATGAGGTTCCTGATAGAAATTGAAATGTTTTTAATTACAAGCACAATGAATTGAAATTTAAAAAACATTTCTCTTATTTTAATTATCTAGATCACTATAACCAGTTCACAATTTTTTAGAAATGTCAATTGCTCTAATACGACAAGTTCTATATTGCATTAAAAATTTGCACTTTATCATCTGCGAGTGTATAAAAACCTTCAACAAATCAAACCGAGTCATCTATTCAGTTTACTACTTCAACCGAATAATATCGCATTAATTATATAAAACCGAAGATGAAATTCGTTATCGTTTTTGTTACTCTCTTCGCTATTGGCTTGGCTCGTCCTGATGTTCAGACTGTTCGAAATGATGCTGAAGTTTTACCGGAGAGCTTTCACTTTGGTGTAGAAACCAACGACGGCACCAGACACGACGCCGAAGGCCATTTAAAGGTATTGGATAAAGAACACGCTACCCTAGTTGTGAAAGGTTCCTATCAGTTTGTCGCCAAGGACGGTCACACTTACACTGTCGACTATGTTGCCGATGAAAATGGTTACCAAGCACAGGGTGCTCATTTACCTCACGTTTAAATTGCAAAAGATAATAGAACGATGCCCGACAATCAGTAAAATAAAAATAAAGAAATATTGAAAAAGAAAAAAGAAACAAAAACAATTTTTATCAATGATTTTCTCACTTCGAAGCAGAATCTTTTGTTCTATTAGTTTAGCAAAATTCTTCCTTGCGGTCTTTGATATTGATTTTGCCAAAGCTATCTTTCAGACGGTTTGTTTAAACTCGGAAGTATTTCGTAATTTTTGTAATATGCTTTTAAAAGGATAAAATGTCAGTCGTTGACCTCTACTCGATCCCAAATCTAAAAATTACATTTAATTATACATACATATGAGCGATTAGTATTAACGGATGCTTAGAGCATTATTATTCCCAATGGCACTCAAACTAACGTGTTTTCCTCGTTGTTCCCATTTTGGAAAACTTGATTATCGGTACTTATGTGGATCGAATAAATAAAAATTAACGAATGTTCCTAAAACGAACATAGCAAGTAGTATTTTAAGCGAATGCTTCCTTTGCGAATCATTGACTAAAATTTAAAGAACTTGGCCTCCTTATCGCAATCATTTAGCATACGCATATTGCCCGTGTGTTTCGAATGGTTTGGGCATACAAGATGGAAATGTTGAAAAGTACAGTTTTTTTTTTTTTTATCGAAATAATGACAAATTTACAAATGCTTCACTCTACTATGTAGTGCCTACGCTCGTATATATGTTAAGGTAATTTGAAAAACTTTGGTGCCAGAAGTTCGAGTAATTTAGAAGCATAAGAATGTATATATATATATATATATATATAGAATAGAATCTTAGATGCCCAACAAGCGAAGCATATGGCAAAACTTTATGTTTATTTCGTAAACACTCGGTTTTCTTTACCCGAAATTTTAGATTGTTATCTGTTGTAGCTGAACAGCAATATTTAGTTTTAGTTACATTTTACTCCTGCAGACACCTGAGTGCACGAACCGCAAACATATAAGCTCCTCTGATTATATGAGCCAAGCTCTTTCTTTTCCCCATCTACAAACGAACGCATTGATTGCCGCATGTGATTATTGAAAACAAAAACAATTACCTATTATTCACCCCTCTCGTAATTACTTTAATGCTAATTGTCTGCATGCCGATGATCAATGGCTCATAAGCATTAATATGCTTTCTTCTCAAGACATATTCAAGGATTAGTTTTGTAAAATACAGTTTTTGCTCAAATATCAGGTATCGACGGATGGGGCGAGCGATTAGCTTCACATGTGTAAGGATAAATCAAAAGCTCGTTCACATTGTTGGTTTTTACGTTTGACGGACAGCATTATATTAAACACGTAAGAGAGTTAAATTCGGCTCGGACCTGATCTCGCATACCCACCACAATGCTATTCGCATTCTACTCCCCAAGCGCTTTTACTTCATATCCATATCACTGGTATTATTAAGAAAAAGATTAATCCACCAGGTGTCTATCGTATTCATTTTAGAATTAACTCATGTTTAGCCAGAAAATATATCTTCATTTAAGGAATGTTCAACATAGTTTTAAGCATTCTGCTTTGTTTGCGCTATGATAAATAAGCATAAAACCTCGAAAGGAGTGAAAAAAAAGAGACTTAATCGCTTATGATTTTGTGTGAGCGTGGCCGATTTTTCTCAGGGTTGCACGTAAAGAATAGAGGGTTTCGCAAAGTAAATGTGGAAAATATCAGCCTTCTAACTTTTGTAGTTTCTGAGTAACGAACAAAAACCCACAAACTTTCGTTAAGAAAAACGGAGTTGCGTTCAGTTTATGCTCCACTGCGGGATTCTCGTCCGACCAATTTGGCCCATTTTCAATACCAACTTACGTGCAACGACTTCGAATATTTTTACCAAATTTAAAATCGATATCTTCATTTTTGCAACCAGTCGAGTGCCAACTAAAAACACCACAGAGACGGACAGACATGGCTTCGTCAATTCCGAATTTCACGCTAATCAACAATGTATGTACTTTGTAGAGTCTCTGAAGTCTCTTTTGGGTGTTACATATATTATGAAAATAAAAAAAAAAAAAAACAAAATGAGTGTACCTCCATCCCTCAGTGGTTTAATATTCTTTGGCAGTGCGTATGAAATGCATTCTATTATCAAAAAAACAAAATTTATCTTAACGTTAAAATGTTTAATTCAAAATGATTAATTTACAGTGTTTTATTGACCTACGGGACTGCAAAGTACAGCAATAGAATGCAAAGATTTTTCTCTCCTCTTTCTCATAGTCCCTGTGTTACACGACTCGGGCACATCGCTTGAATGATTGCTCATATTCAGAAAAAAAAATACAAAAAAGCCAAAAGTTAAAACTAAATTTCGTTCAGTTATCCAACATCGAAATGCAGATTAGAGCTTGCGAATCACCCATTGACAAGCGCCAGAGTTAAACAGTTAAAGTTCATTTATATGTCTAAACATGCATTAGTTATCAATGAAATTTCCCAGATTTCCTTCTTCCGGTGAGATTTAGACATAAACTTAGATCTAAAATTAAATATTACCCTCTCTCTCTCTCTCTCTCTCTCTCTCTCTCTCTCTCTCTCTTTCTCTGTCTGTTATAATATTATTTTAAGAAATTTGTGAAAAATTTTTATAATAATTTTTGTAGTTGTTATTGGCTTCTCATAACATATATTCGCATAAGTTTGTGTATGTTTTTGCATAAGACATTGCATTTATAAATGTAGTTTTCTTTTTTTTTTTTAATTTCGTTTTTATTTAAATTTTGTATTAAGAATCAAATTTGTGTGTGTGTGTGTGTGTTTTTATCGGATTAGTTTCAAAATGTTACTAATTTGCCTTATGATGACAGATTTTTGATGTGAACTCTAATTTGCGTATGTAGTTTGGGCAGCTTTTTGCTTATTTTTGTTTCGAAGAACGCACTAAATTGTATAAAAACCGCATCACAAGTGAATAACGGCATCAGTTTAAGTTATCGGCAGTTTAACAAACCAACTACTAAACAACCCGCAATATAAAAATGAAATTCATCATTGTTTTCGCTACCATCCTGGCTGCCGCTTTGGCTGCTCCTCAACATTACGAACATCACGATCATCACGATTACGATCATGCCGAGATTCTTCGTTACGAATCTGATGTCCGTCCTGATGGTTACAAATTCGGTTTCGAAACCTCCGATGGTACTCAACACGATGCCGAAGGACATTTGAAGGAAGGACATGATAAGGAACACGCTGCCCTCGTCGTGCACGGCAGCTTCTCCTTCGTCGACAAAGAGGGCCACAAATATCAAGTTAACTATGTTGCCGATGAATACGGCTACCAACCAGAGGGATCTCATTTACCTCATGCTTAAGCCTCCAAAATTGATAACGATACTGTGCTATATAGGTTTTGTTTTTCTTAAAATTTTAATTAAGAATAATTAAAGAATAGAAAATATTTACAAAAAAACTTAACTTGCGTTTTTGAATATATATATATATATTTTTGCACTCTATAGTGCTAGGCTGATTGAAATGAATGATGATTGCAAGGCAATAGAGTAGTAATATACGCACTGCTCTCGCACTTCAACTCTCAGATTTCATAGAAAAATGTATGATGTTTCCGATCAGCAATCGAAGAATCGAACTCTAGAACAACATTATTGGTTAAAAGGGAAATATTAGAAATCGCACAGACATGAAATTCTTCGCAATAAAAATTTTAAAATTATTGGTAATGGATATGGTAATGGAAATTGAAGACGAAGAATGGTTCGTACATGGTTACCTGAGTTCGGAAGCGCTTGAACGGTCTTCACTAACAATGTCCGTTCTGTGCATAGAAATGTAAAGCACTGAACAGATGCTCTATTGCATAAAAGATATCATTATGAAATGGACACAAATGACTATGGGTGGCACTACTAGTGCCACGGACATCCTAAAGCTGAGTAGAACTTATGTATTATAAAGTGAATGAGCATACTTTGTAATGCTTCCCCTTTAACGCCATATACAGTTGGAAGGAATGATTTGAATATTATGAATGTGCGCAGAGCAGGACAGAAATATAACTGAGACCCAGCTTTTGTGTCAATCAGCGATCGAAAGAACCGAGTTGCTAAAAACAAGGCTCATGTAGATGGGTTCTTAGTGAAGTACCTATAGAGTGCCAATGAAATTTAAACAAGATGCTTACGAAAAAGTATTTTTCAATATATTTATACTACAAATACTTTGCAATATTGCTACATAAGTTCAGGAATCGTACGAAAGAGAATTTATTCCCGCATATTCAAATGTTTACTGTAACTTCGCGTCAAACGTATTTTGTATCGAAATTTTCTGAAATATTGTCATTGAGAAACTATTTTATATTTGTCTTAAACTATATCTGGACCAGTGCGAATAACTCGTGAAAATGCTGCTAATTTGTATCTGGTTTAGTATAAGCTGAAATTTGATTTGTGCGATTAGTTTTTGTTTTTGATTTTCATAAACCGGTACAAAATATAACAGAAACATCGGTCTGCATTATAAATATAATTCGGATTAATAAACAATTATTTTACGCCCAACATGAACTCATCAAAAAAATTGAACTCATCACTCGCCTAAACATAAACTTGTGATGATACTCAACACAATATGGTTGGAAATTGAAGTTTCTCGGCGACGATGCACGACGCTCTTGTTCGGCTCGGTAGCCTTTTATCTATTGATAAACAGAGACACGTATATTAAGTTAACTATGTTGCCGATGGGAGTACCTTGGCCCTATGGCAATGGTTACAATAATTCTCGACATGCGGCTTGCATTCATGAAACGTTACTCAGTGATCTTACTAAAATTAAAAGTTTTGCGTAGTTAATCGGTAGCATTTGGCATCCGTAAAATCTGTTACATCGAGTTATTTATCATGTCATAAATTTGCTCATTGTTTTGATACGAGTGACTTTAGTTAAGTTAACGGGTTATTTATGATAGTGATTCCAGAGATTCTTTCACATCACGTAACAATT